CGGGAAAAGGGGAAAAAAGGGGAAAGGGCTTCGGGCTTCTCCCTCGATTTCATTGCAAAACCGCATTTCAACTCTCGCCCTTTGCAAAAGAAGCACGTTTTGCAGGAACCTTCGAAGGATTGGCATGGCTTTGTACAAGCCCTGCTCTCTTGTGGAAATAATGAATCCTCCTTTTTTTTTATTTTACACGGGACACAAAGGTGTCCCTTGGTATGGCAACCCATCCCTTTCCTAAATAGACAGCGAGTCCCTCGCCCCCCCTTCGCCCTTCACACGACAAGCAGCCCAACAGAGGAGCCTGTTTTGTTTTAGATATCCCCACACACACACCCCCCCCCCGCCTTCCTTCTCTCGGTTTTGTCCCTGGTCAGAAAAATCCCTGGTTGTTCATCCCATGCCTGCTCCTCCCCAAACACCCCACAAACAACCACAGGGAGGGAAACGCGTGTCGGATCAGGACCGTCTGGCAGAAATCTCCCTGAAAGTTCCCTCCAAACCTCAGAGCAAAGAGAAGCTTGGCCCCAAACCCCAAAATCGGGACGATGGATGCAGAAAAGCCAAGAAAAGCAAGGGAAGGCGAGGAAGATGCTCGCCCCCAAACCTCCAGGGGCTCTGAAGAGGAGGAGGGGGAGGAGGCAGGGTGACCCGATATATATCCAAGGAGGACCAGGCACCGCGAAGGAGAGGACAGTCCGAAACAAACGCTAAAAACCCTAATATGAATATAAATCCCCGCTTCTTAGTCCTGCTCCAAATGGAGGACCTTTTGGAATTCCTCCTGGACAGAAGGATGAAATGGAGGACAGGTCCCGGGAAAGGAGGACGTGTCTGCTCACCCTGGGAGAAGGTTGCGGCCTCACTCTCCAGGGATCGCTGGGGCGACCCATTTTTGGGGGGTACTGGCAGGAGACCCCCTCCCTTGAGGAAGAGAAAGACGTCGAAAAGAGCTTGCAAATTGATCGCTGGCCGCGTTTTAAAAGGGGAGAGGGCGCAGAGAGCCAGCGTGGTGTAGTGGTTTGGGCATTGGACTGTTGGCTCTGGAGACCTGGGTTCGAATCCAGCTCAGCCATGGAGATAGACCCACTGGGTGGCCTTGGGCAAGCCAGTTTTTCATCCTCGAAGCACGACAACGGCAAACCTCCTCTGAACAAATCTTGCTGAGAAAACCCTGCGATAAGGTCGCCCTAAGTCGGAAACGACTTGAAGGCACACAACAACAACAACAACAACACCACCAAGAGAGAGGAGAGTTTGAAGCCTGGCGTTCAGCTGAGCATGGCTCCAGGGCCGGGGAGCTTTCCTTGAATTATCTCTCTGTCTCTCTGAGAGCTGGCCTGGCCTAGTGGTTTCAGTGTTGCACTGAGACTCTGGAGACCAAGGTTTGATTCCCAGCTCGGCCACGAAAAGCACTGGTTGACCTTGGCCAAGTCACGCTCTCTCAACTTCAGGGGAAGGCAAGGGTAAACCTCCTCTGAGGAAACCTTGCCAAGAAGACCTTATAATGGGGTAGCCTTGCGGTCACCGTAAGTCGGAAATAGCTTGAAGGCACACAACAACAACAGCAACAGCGATTCAGTTTCACCTTCCCACCCACTAAAGTCCCCGATCCCCGCAGCCAGGACGCGAGGCCCTCGGAGAGGAGACCAGGGCCCTTTGGCCCCCTAATCGCCCAGTAGGGCTCCCCTGGGATCGAGGCCGGGGCTGGAGGA